GTGATTTTGGCAAAAAACATTATTTAAGCCCTTAAAATTCCAATTTATTGTTTCGTGAGATTTTTAGTAATTTTCAATATTTTTCCTGTTTAATTTTGAATTTTTAGTGTTTGTTTCCTTTTCAAATTTCTTTAGGGTTTTGACCTAAAATTTACTATTTATGTTAGACTTCTAGAATGAAAAATGCCACTTTTGCTTGATTAATAAACTTTTGTGAGAGAGTATCTCAATTTTTTCAATTTTCGATATTCTTTGAATCAACGAGATTGAAGCCTATTTTCCGATATTTGTGTGTGCAATTCAACGAGGTTGTAGTAATTCGGTATTTGCATTTCAAATCAACGATAGTTATCCTTTTCTTGTGAGTTTTCACTACATCACAACCTCGTTTTTGTATTTCGAGTTTTCCATATCAAACAAACACTAGAATATATTTTTCAACAATTTTTTCTTGTAATTGCCAAATATTAGAAAATATTTTCTTGAAAAACAACTTCTTGAAAAATAGCTTTTCCAAAATTGATTATTCTATTGAAAGTTATTTTTCACCAAATAAACGGAGCCTAGAAGAATTTTTATGGGCATATCCTATATCTTAAAATATTGCATTGGGAACCTATCCATTCACTCTTACTTATGGGCATGATGCAATGCTTTTAATAGAGTTTGTTGCTTAGTCCTTCGGACGAGCACAACTATACAATATGAAGAACAATGATGACCGATCAATAATGCTGACCAAATTAGAGGACATCAATAAAGCAAGGTTGGTTGCTATAGATTACTTGATTGTTCACAAGAAGAAATGATGTGGACCAAAAGGCCTTGAAATTCATGGAGCGGCACTATAGTGGATGGTGACATGATTTAGGATTTTTGGCCTAATTTTGAGGGTTTTGTACCTAATTCGATACCAAACGGGCCAACGATCAAAGCTGGATTAATAAAATTTCGTGAGAGAGTATCTCGGCTTTTTCAATTTTTGGCATTCTTTGAATCAACAAAATTGAAGCTATTTCTTGATATTTGTGTGTGCAATTTAATAGGTTGTAGTAGACTAATATCTAGATTTCAGATCAATAATATTTATCTTTCTTTTGTGAGTTTCCGTTACGTAAAGAAAGTAGAGCGAGCCTAGCTACAACAAAATGCCAAGACTAAGTACTTTTATCAAGATGACCTGATTTGGAAAGTAACTCTACCAGTAAGGATAGAAAATATGGCTGATGATTATCAAATTGGGAAGGCAGTACCAAATGCACCTAGAGTAGGAGCATACACTTAGCTAACAAAGATGGCACGTTACACGATCCATACATCAATTGTTGCTTAAGAAGATTATGGATACGGCATCTCGATTTGTAACATTAGAGTACTAATCAAGAGCTTGTAACAGAACAATTATAAGCTAAAACAATAAAGAGAAAATAAAAGTGTGGAGTATGATAGTAACCTAACTGTGTACCAATTAGCAAAGTAAATTTATTATCATTGTTCACTAACAGAACCAATTTCATCTACCTACACTGCAGATTCATCCCCATGCAGAGGTGTAATCATGGGAGTTTCCATGATTTGTGTTGTTTGCTTGGGAGGTACCGATACAATAGCTGTAATAACAGGTTTAATCTTCTCTGTGGTCTTGCTAATAACTGACCCTAAATTTATTTTCATTGCTCACTAACGCAACCAATTTCATCCACTTATTCTACAGATTGATCCCCATGCAAATGTGTAGTCATGGGAATTTCCATGATTTTTTGTTGTTTGCTTGGGAGGTACCGATACAATAGCTGTAATAATAAGTTTAATCTTCTCTGTGGTCTTGATAATAACTAACCCTAAATTTATTTTCATTGCTCACTAACGCAACCAATTTCATCCACTTATTCTACAGTTTGATCCCCATGCAAATGTGTAGTCATGGGAATTTCCATGATTTTTTGTTGTTTGCTTGGGAGGTACTGATACAATAGCTGTAATAATATATAGGTTTAACCTTCCCTACGGTCTTGAATCTTGATAATAACCAAGAACAAAGTTCTGTATAGAACAACCATTCCAAGCAAAATGGAAAGATCAACCCACTTGGATAAACCCATTTCTACTTGCCATTGATCTCTCAGAATTTGTTCGCCGTGAATCATCCGTGGCCCTCCGGCTTGATTGCTAAGAAATGTCAATCCTTCGAATTCGTTCTTGAACATTCCTTGGTAGGCATACTTATGGAAGGCAATGTAGTACATGGGATACTTCCAGAATGGCTGAGGAAGATCATCTGGCAATCGAAAGAATCCCCCACCTAAAATCATTAAACCTTGAATCCCAGCTCCAGTTATTATTCCCATCAGAAAATTTGGCACCATACTTGCAACAGTCATCATTAAGCTCTCAACCAACATCATGCAAGCAAACAATACGAAGACGAAGTATATGAAGTGTTCATATCCTTTGTGAAGTCCAGGAAGGTAATAAGCTATTGCTCCAGGAATTACTGATATCAATAGCAAGTATGGCACCGCAGAGAATGTGTTGCCAATAACAAAAGCAGTGGTACCATAGTGCCCATTTAATCTTTCTATTTCAAATACCTGGATTAAAAGGAGAAAAACGTTTATTAGAGTTTATATACAATTTGGAACGAAAAAATTAGCACTGCGTGATTTATGTACCTTCATATCTTCAACAAAAGAAGGGAATCCACCGATGGTCATGAACGTTAAGAAAGAAGCTAAGAACGCAAGCAGAGAACCTCTAGCCTGTATAATTGTTAGCATAACGATATTTCTTAGGTTTATTGTGAACTTGTTGTAATATAATCAAATCAAGGGTTGAGATATGTGTCATGAACGTTAAGAAAGAACCTGAATTGACTTATAACCAGATCCAAGGTTGTAAAACAAAGTGCCAAGGCCTAACGATATCAATACATAGATTGCAAAACGCAACCAATAGTACCCAAGATCTCGATACATGTTCACGGAAGATCTTCTTGTCAGCACAAGACACTGAGTAAGGAAGCTAGAATGGCTTCTTTCTTTTAATGTCCCACAATTCTGTATCAATTTGATTGTTAATCATCCTTTTCAGTACTGACTGTAATATGAAGATATATTACTTCTGAGATTGGAAGGTAGTTAGTGGCTTACCTCGCTACATATTTCTGTGACTAGTCTTTTAACCTGTTGGTAATTGTCTGATGATTTATACGCCTTCGTAAGAGTATTAATCACTACCTCTGCGGTAATTGCATCTTCTAAACCTTGTTCAATATCCTGTGAAGGACATAATCAGAATTTTTATGAACATTTTAAGGTGAATATTTAATCCACCATTGTCTACACACGTTTGTGTGTTCAGGCAATCAGGCCTGTAAGGAAACTTGGAAACGATCTTTGGTAACATCAAGATATGAAATATACTATTAAAGCCAGATCTTGGATAAAACTACATACCCTTTCAAAATCTTTGTTTATGGTTTTCAGGAAATGATCAGATGGGTTCTGGAGAGTCGGACATGGAAAACCATTCAAGGCAAAAAACTATATTGAAACAAAAAAAAGAAGGATTAGCCAAGCTATAGTTAAGTCTATATGATCTACATATATTGGATAAGTTAAGATTATAAAATTTTGACGCACAAATACCTCGTTTGCTACAGAAGCTGGGCCAAAATACACAACTTTACCAGCACAGAGCAGGCAAAGACGATCGAAAATCTGAAAAACTTCACTGCCAGGCTGATGAATGGATGCAATGACAGTTCTCGTATTTTCATCTCTCTGGTCCACCATTGCAATTCCTCTCATGACATAATACGATGCTGCACTATCAAGCCCACTTGTTGGTTCGTCGAGAAAGAGAAGTTTTGGTTGCTTTAGAATCTCTATACAAAGGCTCACTCTTCTCTTTTGACCACCACTAAGTCCTTTAAAACCCCACCCTCCAATTCTTGTATTCGTGGCATCTTGTAACCCCATTTCTCTTAGTGTCGTCTCTGCTCTCTCTTTTTTTCTGTCTTTGACATTGAGTCTGGCAACTGAAGCTGAGCTGAGTAGTGCACAGCTTCTTTGACTGTTAATGTTGTGATTAAGGTGTCATCTTGAGTTACATAAGCCTATGTGCATCAATGGAAAAAAAAACCCTTTTAGAAAACATGGATGATGATTATTCAACGTTAGTTTATGACACCCAATTCTTAAGTTTATTATCAGTTTCTTGAATTTTTATTTTCATCGTACCGATGTACCATAAGCCAGCCTTTGTTTGCGACCGTTGATTAGAATGTCTCCTGCTTGTCTTGTGTTTGAAGCCAGTCTCCCTGCAACAGAAAATATAGTTAACTATAACCCCGTATATATAAGAAAACGATGAAAATTGAATGGAGCATCGTTGAATTGAAAGGACAAAACGACGGAAATTTCCAGTTTGCGACTTTTTGGTTGGCGAAAACCAGAGTGTAGCACCTTAACCATTTCAGGTTTTTCTGTATGAGAAAGCTGACGGTTAACTTGGAGTCTTTTGATATCATTTCTGTAATTTATTTTTTGTCAGAAAACTCATTTGTTTTTTTTTTAATTTTTGTTTTCAAAAACATAAAAAAATCGACAAACTGAATGTCAAAAAATTTTAAAACCAGATAAAGTGCTTTGCAAAAATTGTAAAGTTTTGCTTTTAACTCCCTCTCTCTCTCTCTCTCTCTCTCTCTCTCTCTCTCTCTCTATATATATATATATATATATATATATATATATATAACGAACAAGTTTTTCTTCCATACTCTTCGTTTTTCCTCGTGAAACGTTTGGAAGAAACTAAATATTCTCGGGTGTCTGTATAAGGTAATACTAAGGAGTGGTAAATTTTCCAGACATTTGGGAAAATGAAAAGACACAAGTTTTCCATGCGTGAAAAGGCAAGAAAGAAAGAATGAAGAAAGTGAGGCAAAGCATACAAATAGTCAATGATCAACCCAACAAATGAACAGTTTGATGGATTAATCAGTTACCTGCTAATGTATCAAGAAGTGTAGATTTGCCACAACCTGATGGACCCATTATAGCCAAGAGCTCTCCTGGCTTAGCATAACCAGTTAGACCCTCAAGGATTGGTTTGCTGCCACTTTTCCCATTGGAATCAGTCACCCACAAATCCTCCCAAGTCAAGAAAACACCATCAAGATCAGGGGCTACACATCCTTCTCCTTTCCTACTCCTTGGCACTGGAACAACAGTTTCTACTTCTAGTGTGGCCTTAATTTCTTGGTTATAACGCATAGATGGTGAGTGATAATCAAGTTCACTTGCTGTTGATTGCTGAGAAGGGTGAGGAAGAGAAGCCATAGTGCAGTGCTTGAGTTGATGAGAGAGTAAGGGAAGGAGTGGTGTGTATTGCAATGTCCAAGAAAAAGGTTAGAGTTTATAAAGGGAATCATAGTACCAATCTGCATCTATGCATAATAACCAAGGAATTAATGCCAAGGAACAACAGTTAGCCGTCTCTCAAATCATCACATGTCAACAGCGATAGTTGCTTTGTAAATTTTTGGTCAATCATAATTTTTTTATTTACCTCTCAGAGAAAAAAAGAAATAAAAAAGAAGAAGAAAAACATGATGGGAGAGAATAATAATGAAAGGTAACACTACAAAAAAATGGGGATTTAGTGATAAAATTCCGTCGCTAATACCATTAAATCTGTTGTTATATAAATTTAGTGGTAGATTTACAACAAAACAAAACCAATGTCAAAACCCTTGTCGCTAATTCTTTTAGTGATGGAATAAAATATTCATCGTAATTTAGAGATGGAATTTTCATTGCTAAATTGAAGTTTGGCCGTCGCTAATTTGATCGAAACAGTCATTGAAAATTTATCGGCCAATTGTTTGACGTCTATTGCTATATAGCAACAAAATCCATCGTTAATTTAGGTTGCTGAATGTTATCGCTAAACCGTAGCTTGTTGTTGCTAATGTAGTGACTAGTTGTTGTGTTTGTCATTAAAACCATCACTAAATATCGATAGATTTAACAGAATCCATCGATAATTTTTGTAATTAATCTATTTTGCACCATTAGGCAGTCATTGATTTGTCACTAATGAAGAAATTATAATTTTTATTATTATTATTAGCGATTTAATGTTTAGTTTTTGTAGCAAACAACTTGAAATAAAATATCTACTAAAAACATTTTTCTGTAAAATAAAAATAATATAAAATCAAATTAATCAAATATATATGCGTTCAAAGGTATGAAAAATATTCAATTAAAAGGTAAAAAAAAATTCTACTCATCATTTTCTTTATCATTTTCTGGCTCTTTGTTACTGTGAGGAGACGATGGCAGGACATTACGAGTCAGCATCTCTCATAACAGCTGCTATATCCTCTCCCTTTGCCACTACAGCTCCTGGTATTTTGTGTCACCTTTTCCTCCACTCTTGAATCCATCAAGCATAGTCACTCTCAATATCTTCACAAAGCTACTCTCGGCATTGCTCATCATCCTACTGCATCTGACCATAGAGCTGCGATGTGGTTGAGGATGATTTTGCACCCAAATATGGAGCCTATGATGTGAGGCTGTACACTCTACACTTCTTCTCCTTGCCTAAAGCCTAAAAATAGATTAGGGTCATGTCGACATCTAGCAATGATGAAGAACCTTTCCGAGGCTTGGCTCTATGCTGCCTCACACATTGTGTCCATGCACGCCTGCATAATTGAAAAAATTATTATATTAAATCACAAATTTAAATTTAAGATTAAGTTAGCATATGTATATTTTTAAAAGTTACACACTTACCTTAATCGTTGCAGACCATGAGTCAACAAATGACTCGTTCGATCGATTGCGAGTCTTCGGGAACAACTTGTAAGGATTTGGTTTACTATCAAACTCCTTGGTCTAAAAAGGTTGACAAAAAAAAGATAAGCTTCATTAACTGAAAATTAAAATTTATAACATAATCGATAATAAGATTTATCATGCATGACATGTGCTCAATTAGTGAGATGGAATCACCGGTATGTCTAGATGGCCTAGCACCTCTGCCACCCACCTCGTTTATTCGGTTTTGGGCTACCCGCTCTAAACAAGCCAAAAACTCGGGTGTGGCCCAATCTCGCTTCCACCCCTCCTATATTAGCACCGGCACAATCGAGGGTTTGGTAGGCAACTTTTTCCAGCCGCATAGCATGTCGGCATACCACTTGTGGGGAAGACTTTCCCATGTTATCTTCATTAGCACATCCATGACTTGCTCCCATATAAGGTACGTCTACATGAAGAAAATGATTAATATTAATACATTTTATGTTAAATTAATTGGAATAATTTAAATATGAGAGCACCGACTCGATGGATATAAACTATTAAACATAACAAATTTAAAAACAATAAGTGAATTAATAAACAAAATAATATAAAAAAATATAAAAGTAATTACCATATATAAAGAAAATACAATACTATTTTTATTAGTGTGCATGATACATACCATTTATTAATGACGCAAATGGTCCAGTTAGCATCGATCATAGAAGTCCCACCATGAGCGAAGAAATCATCGAGGGTACCTCTGCGACCTTTGCCACTCGGCTATGCCGAGCGAAGCTAACCCGATAGGGCAAAAGCCCACCGGCTCAAATGACCCAATAACCTTAATTTTAGCTATTTTTCTAAGTAAATTAATTTTGAAATTTTAATACATGTCTTTTATTTTTACACCTAGTTTAGATTTAATTTTTTTTAATCTTTGAATTCTTTATGCCTATTTATTTCTTTAGTTTAATGCTTAGTTTTTAATTTTCATTCAATAATTAAATTTGGTAATTACAAGGTGGACAAGTTGTCGAGTCTAATTTTTTAGGGCGATGATGATTCCCCACCAACCAAAAATATAAAGAAAAAAGAAAAAGAAAAGAACAAAAAAAAGATAGATAATGCTAGATGAAAATTAACAAAGTCTCATATCTAATAGAGACTAATATTAACTCAAATCAATCATATTTTAGTAATTAGGTCATTCTTCGACTTATCAACTATGTCGAGACTTAAATTAGATCCGATGTTGAATTGATGAGACTTCCGACGTCGAAGTTTGACGATCGATTTAATATGAAGCCATAAATAAAAATAAAAAAATCAATTGGCTCGGGAAATAAAAATTGGAATTGTGATTTAGGATTAATTTTGGCAAAAATAGAATTTCTTAGGAATAAACTTTAGGACTAAACTAGACATGATACCGTTCCTTCGAAATGGTGCCTTTGGGTGATTGATGTCTTTCCAAAAGCATAACCAACTCCTTACCTTAGAATCTATGAACATTATCTATTTTACATTCCTAGTTACTTTTAATACTAGGTGGCAACTTCAAAATTAATAATAACTCATATCCCCAAACAAATAAAATTTTCAACCAATAATAATCATAAATTTTGGAAGTCCTACAAAAGTTGGGTAGCAACATACCCAATTTCATAATATTCGTCAATCGCTTGCAAATATGTCACTATATAATGACTATTTTATGTATGTCGCTAGTTTTTGTCATTATTTAACATTTTTTTTAGGATTCAAATTTGTAATTTTTTATTATTAGTGGATATAATTTGATATTGATTTGGTTATGGATATTTACTCATATGAAATTTCATTAGGTAAATTTTATGTAATTTATTTTACTTTTCAATTGTTTAATTATGTGATAAGTGCATGTTTGCATACATAGTTGTTAGTTTTTGTTGGGTTATTGATTTAAGAAGTTAAAAAGAACTCTATAAAAGTATTGTTTAGTTTTGAATCATCATCATAAATAGAAACTTGATTGTAATACTAAAATATTGATGTAACACGTATGGAAAGAAAAACTCACTCGCTGCTACTAGCACAAAATCCACTACCATATATTAGAATCGACAACTACCACCCAACCATTTTTTAAAAAGAATCAAGATGAATGGATGAACTAGAGTTATTAATGTTGAAGGATAGCATAAAAGAAGAAGATAAAATCGAGCTAATGGTTTTCAACGAACCACCACTACTCTATCTATTGTCGACTTCCAACATCACTATAAACAAGTTATTTCATACCAAAACTCCTTTTTGTCAATCCATTTGATTTCAAAATGTAAATTAACTAGATCTATATCAAGTAAAGAATCCAATATTTAATTTCATATTTGGATAAACTTTGAAAATGCAAAATTTTGTTATGGGATTTGGTGTTTAGGGTTTAGCTTTTCTATTGAGAATGAGTTTTGGAAAGTAATAAAGCCATTTTTAAAGTCTCATCTAACAACTTAAATTTTTGGATTAAGATAGTTATTTGATATGATATTAGAGTCTTGTTGACCAAATAGTCAAGAGTTCAAATCCTATCACCCACACTTTCTCTTCTAATTAATTAAAAATAATTAAGCACAAGATAATATGAGCACGTGCAAGTTTCAAACTCAAAGAGCTTTTCACTTGAAGGAGTGTATTAGAGAGTAATTTATATTATTTTTAGAGCCTCGCTTAACAATTTAAACTTTTGGTTGAGATGGTTTTTGACAATAAAAATGGATCGTGGTGTTGGTGAATGAACCCATCAAAAAAATTTTGTTTTCATTTTCAATCCTTTCTTTGTATCTAGTTATTTTTATGTAATTTGTTTTTTTAAAATGTTTTATGTAAAGGCATAAATATCTGATTGTTATATAATTTATTTATTTATTGCTATTTGAGAATGGATGGATCGTTGCTTTTATTATTTTTATTTTTAGTTATTATGTGTATGACAATTAGCTCACATGTTGGTGCCATGTGTGCAGGTAAGGAACACATCAACCGAAAGTTAATAGAATAACTAAAATAGAAAGAAAATTACATATTGGTACATTTAAATAGTAAGATTAAAGTTTATACACTCAAATAAAAAAAAATTGACTAGTTAGTATACCAAATATGTAATGAACTTTTTTTTTAGTCACCACATGTCGGAGAATAAAGCTAATAATTTGGTACTATGCGTGCAATTAAAGGCTACATCAGTATAAAATTAACAACACCACTCAAATAAAAAAAGTTACAATTTGATAGACTCAAATAGCAAAAATTAAAGTTAACACACTCAAATAAAAAAATTGACAACTTTGTAGACCAAAAATATAATTAACTTGATTTGAGAAGTTAACAAACAATCTATAAAAATATTTTTTAGTTTTTGGAATCATCAAACACAAATAGAAATTTGATTGTAGTACTAAAATATAGGTGTAACATGTATGGAAAAAAAATGTTCTAGAAGAAATTTGAGCAATATACCCAAGTGATGAAGATTTATGTCG